GGAACGAGGCCATCCGCCTGGCTTGAGCGTGGGGAGGAGACGGAAGAGGCCACAGGCTGTGACTGGCACATGGAGCAGGACGTTTGGGATGTACGAGTTTCCTCCCTCAGGGCATTTGGTGATGCCTAGAGACATGCCAGATCTTCTCACCTTGGGGTTCCACCAGAGTCTGGTGGGTAGAGGACCAGAATGACTGCTAAGCATCCTGTTAGGCCCAGGACACCCCACAACAAAGACTTCTGTGGCCACGATATCAAGAAACCTGCCCTACCTTTTAGACTGGCCTCATGGAGGGTTACCACTCCATCTCAAGGTTTCCTTCAGTCTTTATCTGCTGAAAACTCAGAGGACTAGACTAGCGGCCACTGCAAGGGACTTTCCACGCCATCACCTGGCCATCCCCTCCGGCCCTTCGCTAGAGAGCTGTGCCCTCAGGTAAATGCTTTCTCTACTTATTTGGGGAACTTTGTAAAAACTCCCCTGTAGCCATCCCATAAGTTGCGGAGATGTCCCCTAATGTGGTTTTTTCCACTAAAAAGTTGTATTTTTTTAATTAAAGCAGTGAGGGGATTTTTTTTATTATTTTCATTCAAATAACTAATAGCAGCCAATTTGAAGACTTCAAAGGAACCACTTCTCAAGAGTACCCCTCAAGAGGGAGCTCAGAAAAAAAAAGGTGAATGTCGGGTTGTTTAAATGTCATAAATCTATTGATTGCTTAGGCAGAAAGGTTGCCAATCTGGTGTTCTGGCCTGGCCTGGTAAACAGCCAGATAAGGGCTGGGCATCAGTGCATGGGAGCATGGAAAAGTCCTTAAACTTCTCCCCCAGTCAGGAGCCTCTGTTTGTTGGAGTGGAGCCCCTGGGGAGCCTAGGTCATTTGCATGTGCTTGCTTATTGCCCATGGACTTCATCTTTAGTAACTAGAGAAGGCTGCTAGGGAATGGGAGGCCAGCACCCGGGAAATGTGAACCAGATTGCCACTGCTGAGGCACAGAGACCAGCCAGGCGCTTCAGAGAGCTCAAGCGGGGTGTAGGGGATTCCTATACATCCTGCTCCCCACTTAGCTTCAGGTGCTTTGTTTCATGGAAGTTGCCAGATAACTCAAAGCAGATGGTGAGACTAGATGACAATCTATTTGAGACCTTTTCGGCAGAAGAGTCTATGGGTGCTGATGAGGTCCAGAGTCAACCCCTGTGCATCCCCAGGCAGATGAGTGTCAAGAGAGATAATAGAGGCCAGTGCTATCTCTCTACTCCTCTGAGACACTAAGCTGCCCCCGAGGCCACAGACTGCCCCCTACTGGACAACGTGTCCCGAATTTCCCATCCAATAAAGTATTGCATGAGTACCATGATCATGGGTATCAAGCAGGATTTCCTTCCTTCAGTCTGGCTTTGGAGATGTCGCACCATCCTCCTAGAAAGGAAGCCTGACTCCTGACATGATTCTCAAGAAGGAAAGGTACGTCTCTACTGTCAGCCCAGGGCCGCACCACACCCAGCTCTGCTAGGTTTCAGGCCGGAGCCTCCCTGCCCTTGTCTGTCAATCATCGGCCAGTCAGAACTTAAAGCCTGTGAACTGAGTTCATCTCTGTGTGTTTACAATGGAGTCTGTCTTTCCTGGGACACGCAAGAGCAAAGGTAGGGGACCTAGACAGACCTGAATAGACATTGTCACACTTGAAAAGCCAAAACATAAAGAAAGCCATTTGAGGGCTGGAGAGATGACTCAGCAGTTAAAATCACTGGCTGCTCTTGCAGAGGTCCTGGGTTCAGTTCCCAGTACCCATATGGTAGCTCACAGCTGTCTGTAAATCCAGTTTCAGGGGGTCCAATGCCCTTTTCTGACTTTCACAGGCATCATATATGCATGTGGTACACATACACACATGTAGGCAAAAGAGCCATATATATGTGCGTATGTATATATATGTACATACATATATATTTAAAAAGAAAGAAACAGTTTGCATATGATCTGTTCTGCTGATTTGGAACAGGGCGGGTCAATAGGTGTTACACTACTAGCTATGGAGAGACTGGAGTGGAGATGATCAGCTTAACCTAAACTCTTGGAGTTCCTTCCATTTTCTCTCCCATCTTCCTGCCACCAGCAATTAAGTCATTATTACCATGACCCAGAGGGGCCAGAGTCTGTTCTGAAGGACAAGTGCCCCACCATGTTAGAAGTGGGCAAGAAGTGATTCCTGACTGTAAATTACTTCAGCCGTTCCTGACAGCAGCTCTTGGGGCTCTCTGCTTACCGCATGTGTAGCTGGATCCCTGCACACCGGTTTTTAACTTCATGAGTTCTCATCATGTCCTCCATGTGGCAGACAATGCTCGGGAGAACTGTAAACTATTAGCTCATTTGAACCTTGTAGCAGTCTTATGAGCTTGGAGGGATTTTGGAAATTGAGGCACATTAGCCAGATGTAGTGGAGAGTTGGGCCTCCAGTAAGGTCTAGCTCATTCACCACAGAGTTATAACCATGGTGGTCTGGAGTGGTCTCTGAGCTGGAAGACAGTGCTTGCCACAAAGCCCGATGACTTCAGTTTGATCCCCAGGATCCATGGAGAAGGAAAGAACTGACTATCTACAAGCTGTAATTTGACCTCCTTACACAGAGGGCAAACATCAGTTACACACACACACACACACACACACACACACACACACACACCAGGATTATACCTGGGGAAACAGAGAGGGAAAGAGATCTTCCTTAGGGCCTGTCTTAGTTAGGGCTTCTGCTGCTTTAAGACACCATAACCAAAAGTAAGGGAGGAAAGGATTTATTTTGTTTTACAACTTATAGTCCATTAACCAGGGAAGTCAGGCATGAGCTCAAGACAGGAACTTGGAGGCAGGAACTGAAGCCAATGTCGTGGAGTTGTGCTGCTTACTGACTTGCTCTCCATAGCTTGCTCAGCCTGCTTTCTTACAGCACCCAGGACCACAAGCCCAGGGGTGGCACCACCCACCATACACTAGGCCCTCCCACATCAGTCATCAATCAAGAAAATGTACTCGAGGTTTGCCCACAGGCTAATCCCACGGGAGCATCTTTCCAACTGAGATTTCTACTTCCCAAATTACTCTAGCTGGTGTCAAGTTGACACAAAACTAGCCCACACCAGGTTATTAATTCAGCTGAGGGGAAAGCCAGAAACAGACTGCTGCCTCTGACATCTCATATCAGTCCACTGGCCTCCGAAAGTTCTCCTAGAAGTCAGTTTGGGGGAGTATGGTGGATTTAAGGCACGTCCTCAAGTCATTTTGGGGGGGGGAAGGAATATCTTACTAAGTAGCCTTGGCTGACCTGGAGGTAGTTATGCAGATCAGGCTGGCTGGCCTTGAACTCATAAAGATCTGGCTGCCTCTGCCTCCCAAATACTGAGATTAAAATCATGTGCCACCACAACTGGCTAGTCCTCAAGTCTCAAGTTCTCTAATATTCCTACCTTCAAGAGGTGGAGTCTTAGCCCATGGTAGTGTATTTATTTAAGACCAGTACTTGGGAGGCAGAGACAAGCAGATTTCATGGGTCTGAGGCCAGGCTGATCTGAAAAGTAAGACTGTCTCAAAACAACAATAGAGTCTGGAGAGATGCTCAGAAGTTTGATTCCCAGAATCCACACGGTGGCTTTAACCATCTGTAATTCCAGTCCTAGAGAATCTGATGCCCTCCTCCGGCCTTGTGGGCATTGCATGCACATGGAACACAGACACACATGCAGGCAAAACACTATACACATAAAACAAATAAGCAAATAAATAAATAAAACTGTAAACAAAAACAAAAGAGATGAAGTCTCATTGACCTCCCCTCAGGAGCTGGATGTTAGTACCTCACTTGTGAGTAGCAAAGCAGAAAGGGGAGGGGATGGGGTCATAAAAGGTGTGCTTCCTCCTCTCCCCTCCCCCTCTCCCCCTCCCCTGGCTCACACTAGCTGAAGCCAGCTCCCCTGTCCTGAGGGTTCTAGGGCATCTTTGTAGGGAAACCAGGAGGGGAACCCAGGCCTCTTGATAACAGCCATGTGGGGACTCCTGCTTGGAAATGGATCACCCAGCCAGTCCATCAGGATCTTCAGAGGGCAATGATCCCAACCCACAGGTTGACAGCGACCTCATGAGCCCACCCTGAGCTAGAGGCAAGAGGCCAAGCTGTTCCTAGACTCTTGATCTTCAAAACCTGTGTGAGACATCTAACCTTAAAGAAACTCAGTTACTTCAAGCTGCTGGGTTTGGGGCAACACTCTGCAACAGTAACTAGCACAGGAGGCTGTACCTCATTCTCACTGTGGTTGCCTGTCCAGTTTTGTGCTGTGATGAAACCCACAGCATCATTAACTATTATTATTATTATTATTAATGTGGTGGGTCATATTCCAGATCTACTCGTGGTGGCCAGAGGACAACTTTGTGGAATCTATTCTCTCCTTCCATCTTTACAGTCAGCTCCAGGGATCAAAGCAAGGTCACCAGGTTTGGGTGGCAAGCACCTTTATCCTCTGAGCCATCTTGCCAGCTACAGTGTTTATTTTTTTAAACTTAATAATTTTAAGATAATTTATTAGTATTCCATTGAATGAGACTCCCTCTTCCTACAAAAGAGACCATTTTGTGTTTCTCTTCTCATCAGTCTATTTAATTCCTCTGTTGACTGGACACCACAGAGTCAAGCTGCCACTTAGACTATTCAAATAGCTAAGAACTTTGTGTACATAACACATAACTACTTTTGTTGTTTGAATGTTCTTCTTTCTATGAAAGCAGGCTCTCTGTCTTGCTTACACTTATGGTTTCTTGATTCCTATCATGACATATAATAGGCGATAAATATATCAGGTGAAACTAAATAAAATATAAATATGACCTTTCTAATCCTTAAGGAGTTTTTCCACATACTTAGGTTTAGAGAAGATACATGTCATAACTTTGAGTTGTATGGGAATTCATTTGGAGAGTTACTCAGACAGCTTCTATTTTGGGGGGGGGGACTTACTAGGCACGGGACATACAACTGTAAACACGAGACAGTCTTCGGGCTGAACACGGATCATATCCCACCACCTTCATCATCTCCCTCGTGATTTATGCTACCAACATCTTTTGCTCGGGTCATTACCCCTAATAATGTAATCCCAGCTGGTCTTCCCTCATTCACTTTTCTCGCCATGGTAAAATCTCACTGTGTCTGCAGGGATCCCATGAACATGTCATTCCTCTGCTGCCCACCAATGGCTGCCCACTTGTGGGAGGCAGCAGAGATGACCACAAGTCTTTCAACTGGAGCCACATCAAGAGGTAGACTTTATTTTCAGCTCACTGGACATTGGGTGGCTTTGTGACTTTGGTCAGTAGGATGTGGCGGATGGGACACTGAGCTAGTTCTGAGCATGGATTTTTGGAGGTTCTGAGTCCTTCTGCTCTGCTTTTGGAACCTTGTTCCCCCACCCAATAAATAGCAGGCAGGATTTCTGGGAAGAGGGGATGGGGTGAGCCAAGGAGAACTCCAGGAAAAGACCTTCTAGACCAGTCAATTACCAATCAGTCTGTCAGCAGAGACGTTAGATGCAACTAGAGCAATGATGTAGTCTTCTGGAATCTTCTAGATGACTTACAAACTCATAAGCCAAAAGCATGTGTTTGTTTAAAACTATCAAGATGTTCCTAGTCTGCTACATAGTGGAAACTTACTGATAAATCAGAGAAAAAAGTCAAACTTTTTGTCTCGCACATGGTGTACCATGCTGACCTTTTCTCCTGCTAATCTCAGGATCTGTGATCCAGAGACACTGGCCTTCCTGCTGCTCCCACCCCAGGTGTGCTGATATCCTTGCCTGGAATTTTCCTCACTTAGATACCCCCTACTTTTCCTTGGGTTCCTGCTCAAGTATGACCCCCTTCATCACACCCTTCCTGACTGGCTTACAGAAGTGGCCATCCTCAGAATTCTCCTACCCTGCTTTATTTTTATCTGGGACACTGGTCACCCTCTGGTATAGCTCACCTGTGTACTGTCTGCTCTCGCCACTAAATAAAAATTCCACGAGGGTTGAGATTTTTATTTTGGTAGGTTTGGTAATATTGTCATCAGGCAGAATTTTATCAGTGGACCCTCAAATGCTTTTGGGACCATGCATATTGTTAATCCTCAGATTAAGCAAGGGGAGCAATTGGCTTTGAGCCACACTGGGAACATAGCAAGACATCTTATTTTAATGGGGATAAGTGTTTTACCTGCACCTGTGTGTGTGTGTTGTGTGTGTGTGTGTGTGTACCCTGTGCATTCCTAGTACATAAGGAGGCCAGAAGAGGGAGTTGGAGGCTCCAAAACCGGTTGTGAGCCCCATGTGGGAGCTGGGAATAGAAAAACGCAAGACCTCTGGTAGAGCAGCCAGTGCTATTGACTACTGAGCCATCTCTCCAGCCCCCAAACCTGTTTTAAAAACAGCCTAAGTGCCCAGATGAGAATGGGATTCTTCAGGAAAACTACAAACATGCTCTCGTTATGACACACATGACAAGCATGAGCATCTCCATAGCATGCTTTACAGGGTATGGGGACATTACAATTCAAACGGTTACTCGCTCCTTGCAGTAACCCTGAGAGGTAGGCAGGGCAGGTGTTAGGTGGGGGTGGACGTGGGTTTTCATCACGGTTGATCAGAACCCAAGTCCAGAACTTGTCACCCATTTTGACATTCTCTCCTTGCTGGGTTCTGACCTAGTGACTGACTCCTGAAGATTCAAGGTTAACCTTGAACTCCTGAAGGACCCTCTCCACGGAAGCATCCCTTTTCTTGGGAGAATGTAAGCACCCTGCTAAGAGGCACAGGTGATGGTGAACCCCACAAGCCCCTTTCCTCCTCAGTTCCTAGCAGTACCTCTCAACTCTGCCACACGTATGTTCCCACCGGGAAACTTTCTGGGAAGCAAGGGTGAATAGACAGCAGACATTCCAGAACCTCCCTATGACTCCCAAAGAGTCCCAACTTGTTTGGCAGTCTGTAAAAGACAGTGCCTTCCTTCTCTTTTGTCCCCAGACCTACCCTCACTGTCCTGTAGGTGACTGAGGAAGGCTCAACCCAAAACAGGGTGGGCAGCTGCTTTCCAGTGAAACCCAGAATGAGGTCCTGGTCTTGTTGCTTTATTTGGGTTTAAAAATCAAGTCGTGTGACGGTGGAAACTCTCTCCCGCTGTTCCCCACTCTCTGCCATGTTGACAGAAGAGGACTTGCTAATTCTGGCTGGGGATTTTCCCTGCCTGACTGTTTTTCTCTTTTATCTCCATCAATTGAAGAGAGCTTGCTCTGCCTTTCAAACTGCCGGAAGAAACTGGGGTTTTGTGTATTTTTTTTCTTTCACCTAATTCTGTGGTCTTTTCCCAGATATGTATTTTCTCTCTAACTACCTTCTAACTTGTTGACGTTTCCGCCCATGTGACTTCCAGCTTGAATTACCAGAAACCACAAGAGAGAGCGTGTGCGCAAGCCCCAAAGTAAGCGAGATGTCCCTTTGGGGAGCAGTCCCTCTGCACCCCAGAGACAGGAGGACACAGGGGGCTGTCGGAGTTGGCTGCCGGGCAAGCAGGGGAGGCACCTGTGGAAGGTGGAGGGCTGGTGGCCCCCTAGCAGTCAGAAAGGGGAGCCAGCTAGTGAGCCGATCGCCCAGAGACGTCTGGGCCGTTGTGGGAGAGTCCGGAAGATTACAGCCATGCCTCACAGCTCCGACAGCAGTGACTCCAGCTTCAGCCGCTCTCCTCCCCCGGGCAAGCAGGTACCCCCACATCTCCTGCCTTCTAAACACCCTGGGGTGGTGCAAGAGGGCCAGACTCCCCAGTCGTGCCTGGGGAGCTCTGGGTGGGGGGAGGAAGTAGCTCTCTACTTGGCAGTGTGCTCTCTAGCAGAGTCTGGAAGTGGTGTTTGCTATTCGGAGGTACAAAGTGGCAAAGCCTTCATCCCGCCACAAATGCCGCTTTCCCGCTACCTAGCAGTATGCCTCATCTCTGCCACACTTCGGTTCCCACTGTGAAACTTTCTAGGAAGAAAGGGGCAGGGTGAATATCACGGAACTTAGAGGAAGGGGTCACACCGCTAGCAGAGGAATGTTCCAGTAGGCTGCTGGTGGACTCCACCCAAATCCCAGATCTGTAGCTTTCCAGGAAGAGCCAAGGGGCCAGACAGAACCCAGGTTAGGGAGGAAGCACAGTAAGCCGAAGCGAGGTAGAGAGGAAGGAAAGGATAAACAATCTACCTGCCCAGGGACTGCCTCTGTGACTACAACAGCCAGTGGGGAGGGAGGCTGAAGTGACAGCCTGCATCTTTCCCTGTGACTTCCAGAGAGGAGAAAGAAGACAGCAGCGCTCTGGAGGTTTATTGGAGACCTGCACTGGAAGCTAACATCAGCTCTGGGAAACCAAGGATGGAGGGAAGGATTCTGGGAGTCTTAGAGTCTTGGTTTGACTACCAAACCAAGATGCTTCAGCGCAGGAGAGATGCCTCTGACGGGATGCCTTCCCACCTTGTAGTTTCTGGAGCTCTCTACCATATTCTTGACACCCTTGCTCTAGAAAACTCTCCTCATTTAGCATCGACCCGCCGGATTAAACTTTTCTACATCTCAGTAACGTCAAAACTTCATCCTTTCCTTAGCACACATATAGGGCAGGGCACATCATCGCTCAAGGGCAGAGTGCTTGTCTAATGCATATCTGGGGAGGGGGGGCTTGCAAAATGCAGCAGCCAAAATGGAAATATGCAACCATCCCCTACCACATCTGTCATAGGCGCTCATCTGCTGTTACATCTACTGTAAGCTCCTAACCCAAAAAGCCATACTGGAGAAGACCTCTAGAAGAAAACAGTCAGCCCCTTGGTTACAATTGTATCGGAGTAGCTCAGACTGCCTGGAAGATGGTACCATGCTCTTCTTAAGAAGGAAATTACTCAGAGTTCCATGGTAACCTAGTCCCCTGTGGCATTATGGGAAGAGTGATTCCTTGCTCTCATTCACCTGCTAGAATGGCCTGGAAGTTTTGGATAAAGAGGGAAGGGGGGCCAGAGCCTGACTCCAGGATCTGTGACTCCTCTGACAGGGTAGGGGTTGCTGAAGGGCTTCTCTTAGTGTCTTCACTGACCCAATTATCAGGGGCAGAACTGGAGTGAACCTCCCTTACACACAAAGCACGTTTGGTCTTCCAAAGTCCCTATCAGTAGCTTGCTAAAGCAGGTGGCCTCCCCCTCAACTCATAGACTTATTTTTGGTGCCTCATTTGTAGCAGGCATCATGTTCAGGACCGGGAAGGACTCAAGATGGCTGCATGATAAAGGGGATGAAGGAAAGAAAGAGAGATCTGGGGCGGGGCCCTCTGCCTAAGGGTGTAGCACAAGACAATTGCTGGTGGAGAGGGGATTCTCAGGCTGTAGAATCAGCACCGGGAGATGTCGTACTCATGAATGGCCATGAGCTCAGGGACCAGCGTGGCTAGCCTCAGCTTCATCCTGCCCAAAATAGATATGGCTGTACCTGCTCAGAGAGCTGGGGGAATGGTAGCATAGTATCTCTGAAAGTACTTGTACAGACGCTGGCACATAATGGATGCTCAACAAAGTTTGCAAAAAAAAAAAAAAAGAAAGAAAGAAAAAGAAAACAGCAAATGGAACACCAAGAAGGTACACACACACACACACACACACACACACACACACACCAGATGGAGAATGTGGTGGGTAGAACAGCTCTGGAGACAGCAGAGGTGATGGGACAGATTTCATTATCTTAACTGAGGCTTCCTAAAGCAGCTATTCTGAAGCCTTGGTCTCTCTTCACTTCTTCATGTAGCTTTTGATGAAAAGAAGGCCCATGGGCAACCAGAGGTGGGTAGCAGGGAATGCTGAAGAAAATGTCTTTGGGTGCAGACTTTTTTGTAAATAAGGGGATGGATGGTACAAGAAGGAACTGAGGACCAGGAAGGAAGGAGGGAAAGAAGGAAGGAAGGAAGGAAGGAGTGAGCCAAACGATACAATAGCCTGTTTTAGCTATAAGAAAGGGATGGATCTACTCAGTTCTTGCTATCACTGCTTGCCAGGACTCATCCGACGATGTGAGAAAAGTTCAGAGGAGAGAGAAGAACCGCATTGCTGCCCAGAAGAGTCGACAGCGGCAGACACAGAAAGCCGACACCCTGCACTTGGTGAGTACCCAGTCTTCTTATGCTGTTCTTATGCCTTAGGCTCTGCACCCCACACCAGTGGGGCTGTGAGACCCAGCTGTGGTGGTCCTTCTGTGGTGGGGTTATGTACATGGGAAGAAAGAGTAAGTGCTGGGTAAGACCTGCAGGGGTGAGGTGGGGAGGAAAGGCTCCCTTCTCCTAAGCCTGTATTCAAACCTTCAGTAGCAGAGAACGGGACTGGAGGCTGACCCTTTCTAACCCGGGAGAGTGCAAGGGTAGTGAGTGGGCTGCTGGCAGCCTTGAGGCTTGGTGAGAGGCAGAGCCACCTGTCTGGAAAGGGACAGCAGAGAGAGCCACTGTGAGCAGAACGCGGATGCTCAGGGGAAGTTAGATGTTACATTTGGCTTTGGGACGTCCAGTCTTTCAGAACCACACATCTCATCCTTCCAGAAGGCAGGCGCTCTGCCACCCAAATGCCCTTGCATTTGAGAGAAAGGGGCCAATGATGCTGCCTTTATTTATTCATTTTTCCTGAACATCAGGAAAGTTCTGTGTTGAGTGTTCCACTGTTAATGGTATATACAGAGGCTGTGAAAGACACAGTTTCAGGGCACTTATCTGGGACAGTCCTGGTTGAGTGGCCAATATTCCCAAACTTTTCTAGCAGGGAGGAGATGAGCCACAGCCCCACCAGGGAGGCCCACAGCCTGTGCCAGAGACAGTCCCAGCCGGGCACAGTTCTCCCGACGTTTTTCCTCTTTACATTCCGCCCCCATTCACTGTGCTCTTGCTCAAGCATTCTTTCTTCTTTGCATCCTTCTTCCTGCACTTTCTCCTAAAATATTTCTATACTGCTAATATTCTAGAAGTTTCTTTCAATGGTAAAAGTGCAATAAGCACCAAAACCAAATAAGCCGATAATGACACAAATGCCTAGCATGGCGATGGACTGCTTTAACGTTATCAGGGATAAGTAATACGGGCTGGGGAAATGGCACAGCAGGTAAAATGTTTGTCATACGAGCATGAGGGTCAGAGTTCGGATCCCCAGAACCTATATAAAAGTCAAATGGGCAGGAGGCAGAAGTAGGAAGATGTCTGTGAATTTGAAGCCAGCCTAGTCTACATAGTGAGCTCCAGGACAGCCAGAACTACATAGAGAGACCCTGTCTCAAAAAAAAAGAGGGACATGGCATCCTGCAGTAATTCCAGTTCATGGGAGGTAAGACAGGGACTCTTAGAGCAAGCCGTCTAGCCAGACTAGTCAAAATAGCCCGACTAGCCAAAAGCAGCAAGCTTTGGTTTCAGCCAGAGACCCTGACTCAGTACAGAAGTTGGAAAGTGACTGGAGAAAATACTGACATCAACTATGGGCCTCACACATGCACGTGCACCCACACACATGTATGCCCACAAACAAGCAAACACATATACACACCACACACATACACATTCATCAAAAGAATAAGCGATACGTAGTTTTAGAAGATGGAAAAGGGGGGCTCTTAGCTTTAAGGAACCTGAAAACAGCATGTCCTAAGCCCTCTCTCTGCCTATGCTTAGGTTTTGTTTGATGGGTACTTATAACGTTCTCCAGTACATGCTGACATCATTTTTCTGTTGACAAATATGTGTCAAACTGACAAAAACATTAAACAGCAGTCAGGACAGCCTGAGAGCAGCGGTCTGGGTGTTTGTTCAGTCTCTACCCGCCCTACTCATCCACTTCCAGCAATTTCCTCAGGGCTTAAAATCTCACAGCAGTTGCACCAGCTTAAGCTGACTTTTCCCACCTGAGCCTGGTTCTTATTTAACAGTTCTTGAAGCAGGAAGCCACACTTACAACAGAGGGGCAAGCACCCACGAGCTTTCTAAGTTTGCAGTATTAAAAGAAGAAAGTTGAGCTGAGCCTCTCTGTGCAGGGAGGGCCAGGCTCGGACAGCCACCCTACCATTTGTTGTCTGTGTGACTGAGCCTATGTACATCCTTCATGGGCCTGAGACTCGGGCCCTTACCTCTAGGATGGGAAATGACAGGAGCTGCTTTTAGAGGGAGTGCGGATGAACAGGTGCCTGGCCTACAGTAAATACTCAAAGATTCAGTGCAGAGTTACTAGTAATAGTAAAGGAAGTATGAAAGCTGAGATTGAGCAGGTTATCTATGCACGTTTGCATACTTTCATACATAAAAGCATACCTATATTTTCCATGTATGTATATATGTGAATATTATGTGTGTGTCATGTATGTGTATTGTGTGTGTATTATGTCTTTGTGTATTGTATCTGTGTATTGTGTGTGTATTATGTCTGTGTATTGTATCTGTGTATTGTGTGTGTGTTATGTATATGTATTATGTGTGTATTGTATATGTATATTGTGTGTGTGTTGTATATGTATGTTGTATGTGTGTATTACATCTGTGTATTGTGTGTGTATTATGTCTGTGTGTATTGTGTCTGTGTATTGTGTTTGTGTGCATGTGAGTGTATGTACTTTTTCTCCACAGAATCTCAGTGCTGAGAGACTTCTTAACAGCTATAAAGCTCAGACACGTTTGATGCCTGAGAACCTTCCGCAGTACTCACTTCCCTGCACACGGTCCCCCAGTGCACACCTGGTCACTTCTAGCAGAAGAGTGCTGCCTCCCTCTAACACAGGTGCAGACGAGAGAGTCTCCTTGTCTCTAGCTGCAGGCTGCCTCTCTGTCAGTTCAGCCCTCTGGTCTCGGCCCAGCCCCTCGGTTGTCTGTCTTAGGAAGACAAGAGGCAGAACCAAGACGTTTAGATGGTGGTTCTGGTTACAACTGCAGTGACCAATCTCTGGTGGGATCATGGGGTCATCATAGCCACGTTCACCCCCAGCCTCGATCCCCACAGCGACCCAGTTTCCTGTATCTAAACCCTTTCTGGCTCATTTGTTTGGAGCACTGCAATGTGCCTTCACATTCTGCGCAGTGAGCAGGTCTCAGAGGCTGTGCCACAGGCCTGTGTACCGCCGTCACTATAAACTAAGTTCTGTGGCTTCGGGGAGAAGCTTTTAGTTGCAACACACAGCAGCCAGCATGCAGAGAGTTTGGCTGTGGTCTGGACTCTGTGTGTCTTCTTGCTGACAGTCACCCCTATTGTCACCCTCTTAAATACATGTGTGGTTCAGAGAGGAAAAACTCCTGCTTCCTCCAGTGAGCCCAGTCTCAAGTCTCAGTCTACCCTTGATTCCTTTCCAGGCTTTCTCTACATGCAAGGTTCTGGAACCTTCTTCCTGATGTAGGGTTCATCTACCAAGAATTTGAAAATCAGGGTTTAGGATTACTGGGAATATATCAAGTAAGGGACAGCTTAGGGTTCATCTTAGGGTCCTCGCCTCACATATGCCAGGCTGCCAATATCTTCTCAATGCGGCATGTTGGCACTAGTATCTGCCTTAAAGCTCCCAGTGGCCTAGCCGCTCCTGTGAGAGTATGAGATGCTTACCATTTAGCATTTTGAATATCTACTCTGCCATCAAGCATGGTGCATTGATTACTTTTCAAATGACAGAGGTAGAGAGGAGCCTCTTGAGGCAACCATGTTATAATGTCCTCAGCATTGACTAACTCCACACAAAACATATTTGTGACTCTCTTCATAATTATGAAATGTATGTAATGACTTCCAAGACACAGCTTTAAACACAAAACAATTAGTATGACATTTCCAACTAGTCAGAGAAATTGAATTATTCAATAAATAGTGTTGGGACACCTGGCAGTCACTTGAAGAAACAAAAGGCTGGATCTCTCATTCCTTATAACACCCAGACAGATTAAATATTTTTCAAGGAAACTAAAGACATCTTAGGTGGAAATATGAGATTTTAAAACGTATCTTGGCATGGAAATTTTTCAAATAAAATAGAAAATCATAAAGGAAAATACTGATATACAAATATGATTTATACATCAAAAAATTTTAAAAATTGGCTGGGCATGGTAGCATATGCCTTTTAATCCTAGCTCTTGGGAGGCAGAGACAGGTGGGTCTCTGTGAGTTCAAGATGCTTCATCTACACAATGGGACCCCCATCTCAAAAAAGGGAAGACATTTTAAAAAGTTTACATAGCTCAAAATACTATATGCAAAACCAAAGGCAAATGGAAAACTGGGAGACAATGATCTATAAAGCTCGAGAGTCAAAAAAGGCGCGTTTACTGCATATGTGAAAGCTCTATGCCAGGAAGATGACTGATCTCAAAGAAAAGCGAGCAGTGACCACAAACTTACAGAAAGAGAGAAATATAATGTACCTAATAATGTGTCGATGTGGCAGGTCTCCTCGGGAAAATGCCAGCGAGGGTGAGTGTGAGACTTCCTTGCCAGACTGACAGGGGTGAAAGATGATGCTGGCACAGGAAATGGCCAAGGGAGAGGGGAGAGTGAGCATCACATTTCCTTAGCAGGACCACTTGCTGCAACCCAGGCGGAAGCCTGACCAGGCCCACTCAGATGAACAGTGCACCTTCCCTGTCTCCCAGCAGCTTGCCTCTAGCAATCTGTTCATGGGCACACCACTGGTGACGTGATTCTCTGCTGGGTTTTGTTTTTTTCTCCCGGTTTTTGTTTTGATTGGTGGTACTGAGCATTGAACCCAGGGACTTTATGTGGCTGGACGGATGTTCCAGCACTGCTCTGTAATGTCTGGAAATTGGTTAACTATCCATCAGTAAAAGGGTGCTTGAGGGGCTGGAGAGATGGCTCAGCAGTTAAGAGCACTGGCTCTTCTTCTAGAGGACCCAGGTTCAATTCCTGCACCCACCTGGAGGCTCAAAACTGTCTGTAACTCCAGTTCTAGGGAATCTGACAACTTTACAATGAACATAAAATAAATTTAAATAAATTATTTAAGAAATGGTGTTTGAGTAAATGATAGTCCATTCTGAGTGGACTCTTATGGAACTGTTAAAATGAATTGCATTTGAATGTAGAAAGACTATAACTTCCTTTTCTAAAATAGTTTTAAAGTTTTTAAGTTGTGTGTGTGTGCATGTGTGTGCATGTGTGCACACGCATGCATGTGGGTGTGCATGTGCACAGTGTGTGTAAGTACACGAATACAAGTAACCACAAGAAAGGAGGTGGTACTGATCACATGGAACTGTGAGCCATAGGTGCTGGAAACTGAACTCAGTTTCCTCTATGGGAGCAGCAGACACCTCTGACCACTGAGATATCTGCCCAGCTCCTCTTCAGAATTTTCTAAGTTACAGTGATTTATTTATTGTTTGTTTATTATGGGGGAAGGTGCATGCCTGCCACCACGAATGTGTGTGGGTCAGAGGACAACCCACAGGAGTCGGGTCTCTCTCTCCACTGTGTAGGTCCTGGGGACAGAACTGAAGTCGTAAGTCTTGGCAGCAAGCGCTTTTACCCGCTGAGCTGTCTTACCAGCCCCAAGTTCCCAGACTCTCAAGTAAGGAAAGTATAAAGAGAGTATCTAGTTTTCTTCAAACCACATTTTTAAAATCCGTTTGAGCATAAGTATACAAGCAAGTTTAAAATGGGTTACCCGAGCTTATTGATGTTATCTATTTCCAAAAAGTCACACTGAAGTTGTAAGAAAGGAGAAGTTCCATTTGCATTTCTAATCCTTTTTATCTCGGTCTTTTTGAGGGGCAACTATCTCTGACATTTGAGTGACCCTGAGGTCCATAGTACAAGGTGAGACACTATAAGGTATAGCAAGTTATGTTCCTGTGGCAGGCCATTCCGTTGCCAGCGGAGGCTCTCTGACACTTTCAAGCATAGAGGACTTTGAGTCAATGTCTGGGGTCAGTGAAAACAGAACTGAGATCAATTTAGAAGCACTGTTCTCCAGAAGGCTCTGAGTAGAGGAGGTGGGAGGAGATCAGCAGAGTCATCCCAGAGTAGTGTTGGCCCATGAGATCTGATCTCGAGGGTGAACTGAAGCAAGGTAGCTTGAGTGCCGATGCCGGATCTAGAAACTGAGTACCCAGGGCTCCCTTCAAAGGAGGTGAGCCAGGTAACTGGCTGCTGGAGGCTCCTGAAGGAATCTCACCACGGTTCGGGACAGAGACATCTGTAATATTTAATATCACATAGAACAGAAAAATCATGTAAACTGAGTTAATGCCATGAAAATTAAGTAATGGAGAAATCCCCAAAGACAGTGCTCTTGGCCTGCTAAGGTGTCCTCTATTATTTCTGTAGTTCTTTGTCTCTGGGAGATCATGTACACTTTATTAGCATAAAGAATTCAAAGATCTGCAAAATAATAAAACACACAGGAATGTTCTGGCTAGTTCTAACTTTTAAAAGTTCAACATAAAGCCAGTGAACCATCTCTGGAAAACAGACACCTCTCTCGTGTCTCTGTCACTCTGAATTTCTTTTTTAAAAACGTGCTAATTGAACACCTGGCCACGGTCAGGTTCTGTGTGTTTGGTGCCCAACTAGCAGTACAGCACGTGATGTGAAAAAAAATATCCTGTGCATTAAGTAATCTGCTCAAGGTTACACAGCTTGATCTTCAGAGCCCTCCTTCCTAATCACTAAATATACTGTGTATTTATACTGTGTATTTGTATCTTCCTTGGATCACTAACTGAATTTATTATTTACCGTTTAAGCAATGCCCTCCAAAATTCTTATTTTTCCAGCTCATCTATAGACTTCATCAAGAAAGCAAAGATCTCTCTGTCTCTGTCTCTCTCTTGTGTGTGCATGCATGTACACGTGTGTGTGTGTGTATGTATGTGTGTGTATATCCATTTTAGGAGGTTGTATTGTATTGATATTGTACACTAGAATAACCTTTGGAGATAGTACTTCACTTATAAAAGTGCCAGACAAAGATAACAGATGAATGTGCTTGAAGCATGGGTATCTGTGGACAACAAACACTATGGATGCCATAAAATTAGACAGATAGGAGCCGGGCAGTGGTGGCACACATCTTTAATCCCAGCACTTGGGAGGCAGAGGCAGACAGATCTCTGTGAGTTTGAGGCCAGCCTGGTCTACAAAGCTACACACAGAAACCCTGTCTCAACAAACAAACAAATAAAAAATAAATAGGCAGATGGTTAACAACAGGGTGTTGAGTAGATTGTGATAGAGTTTGAGGCTGGCACTAGACATGACTGGAGATCTATGTCTGTTGACTTAGATGTCTCTGAGACTGAGTTGAGGTAAGCAAGCAAGTCTTGAGGAGTGTGCAGAGCACCATCTGCTAACATAAAGCCTGAGGGTTGGAGGTCCAAAGTACAGTCCCCAAAATACTAATAGTAGTTACTCATGGGTGACTGGGCTTGGGTAATTGCCTTAGTCCTGGTATTCTTTGCAGGTTTATTATGATGAATATGTGCTGTGTAAGCTATTAGAAATAGTTCCAGTCTTTACAAATCAGCTATTTTAGTTGAGGAAGAACATGTCAAGGCCATTTACCACCCCAACTGGTGTGTTAGGGTTGGGAGGCACCTACACTTGAAGAATGCTTGTGTAAATTAGATTGTAGGTGTCAGGTCACAAGCCAACACCTACCCCGTCCAACAGGTGTTTTAAGGAGGCCATCCTCAATGTGGTCCCTGCTTCCCACAGCAATGGACTGGGCCACAGAATAAATGTCTTTCCAAGAGGGTCTCATCATGGGTCCACATAATAGCTTGTAAAGGAAATGCCAATCATTATGGTCATACTGTGTTGTTCATTGGATCAAAATATTTAAAAAGGAAACTTGGGGATTTTAGATCAACCTTCTGTGTTACCAGTGAAGAAATCAGTGGGACTCCCAAGGACCCTGAGTTTTTGCCTCCCTGCCAACCTGCATCTGCTTCGTGCCATTCTGAGCTTTGTTGTGGATGTTTGTTTGTTTGTACCGTTCCCATCTGTCATTTTGGAAGGGCTAAGCCATGAAGTAGACTGATGACCAGGATGTTTGCACAGCAAGACTCCCATTAGTTCTAAACACTCAGCAACAGCAAGAGAGAGACCTTAGAAGGAGTTAAGGTGTGTAAGGCCTGGAGTTTAATTGTCTCTTTATTTGTAAAGGCAGGAACTCACAAGGCTGATGATATGTTTGAAGAAAATATTTGCATTCAATTAAATTCATGAATATTTAATATGTATATCAAGAAAGAACATCTTTTGAAAGAAAAACATCAAGACACCAATCAATAAGTGGGCAGAGACTGCACAGAAAGCTTACATACATTTTTCCTAGTCAAATGAAAATAACCTAATTTTCTATTCTGATGATGAAAATACACATCAGGGAAGGGTTTCTCAACCTCAGAGTGATTGACGTTTTAAGTCTCATACTGTGCAGCAGCCCCTCCTCCCCTGTACTGGGGAGTGAGCCTGGGACTATACATGCTGGGCAAACTCTCTGCCACTGAACTACCCCTAGACTTTTTCCCCTCTACATTTACAATTTTGAGACAAGGTATCATGAAGCTACTCAAGCTGGCCCTAAACTCACTTTATAGCCTAGGCAGACCTTTAACTTTCATATTCTGCCTCAGTTTCCAAAACAGGTAGGACTGTAGGCTCATACCCCAGGTCTGCTATTAATTCTGACAACACTATATGGCTGTCCTGTGTGCTATAGAATGTAAAATTCTACCCACTAGATGCCACTGTACCTGTCTTCCTCCAGCTATGGCATCCAGAACTTGCCAGGTGTCCCCTGAATAGAACAATTACACCCATTTAGTTGGAACAGACATATAAGGTCTTCTTTTATTTTTTTAATTATGATCTTTCCCCCCTTCATTAGAAATTGATAACTTGTACTAGTAAGATGACATTATGGAATCTTCACAAAACTAATTGACAAGATTATTCATGCTAGAAAGCCTAACACTTAGTGTTTCCCCGTGCCTGCTCTGGTTGGCACGGGGTCTGGCTGTGGAAGAAAGCTCACAGGAGCTTCTGTCATCCTGGGACAGACACTCCTTGTTGGTTATGCTGTCTTACAGGATCCTTTGAACATTTCCTACTGAAAACTGTAGGGGCCTGGAGGGTGGATGATGCCCTTTGCCCCACTAATCTCTGAGAAATTTATCCCCGGAGAGGAGAGAGAGCAAAAAACCCAGTGTGCATGAAGGTGTCACTTCTAGTGTTTTTTTTTTACAACAGGGACATTTTGATGACTGTCAAATTGTCCCATACCAGGCAACTGTTTCAAGTAAACTGATGATCATGCATTTGATGAAGTAGCCATGAAAAAAAATAGCAGTTGTGACAGTGTAGCCATGACAAAATGCAAAAGACAAATTGTCGTTGCACCAGGGTTGAGATTTTACAGAAATAAGTATGCACATTTGTTTAAAAAGACAAGATACTAATTAATAGCAGAAATAAAATCAGGTGTTAGGGCTGGTCATGGTAGGTCCTTAATCCCAGAACACAGGAGGCAGAGGCAGATGGTTCTGTCTGATTTCAAGGCCAGCCTAGTCTATATAGTGATGACCAGGCCAGCAGAGGTACATAGTGAGATCTTATTTCAAATTAATTAGTTGGTATCTTTAATATAGGCATACTATATGTTTTATTTTTATTGTTTTATTTTATATTTATTTATAAGGAAGGTGGTCAAACTTGAGAGAACTTGGAAGGAAATTGAGGGAGAGGTATCATTGTCAACTTTGGGTAGGTGACCTTACAATTTATCCTCCAACCTAGACATTTGAAGAGTGCGAAAAGAACCACAGTCAACGTCAGATGAAACAGGTGGCCTAGGACCACCCCACCCAAAAGTGTGGGAGAACTAAGGACAGTGACCTGAGTCACTTACAAATGCAGATGACAAAGTTCAAAGTCAAGCAGACAGCCCAAATACTTAGGGGTAAAAGGCAATTTCCAGCACACAGAAGGACTCAATGGTCTCTTGAACACGCCTCGTGTTCACTGATTAGCTAGGAGCTCTAGCAGGCTGTACAGGTAGACCACCGTCTCAGCGCTCACCAGCAGAAATGATCCACCCGCTCGGCCAGTGTTTGGCAGTTTCCTGCATGTGTGGTTCCTTTAGGCACCGAGATTATAACAAGGAAGCCTGAGCCCTTGGTTTCATGGGTCTTACATTCAACCGTAGGCCAGGAAACCAGACAAATAAAGGATCTCATTAACTACACCTCGTGAAAAAAACGCTTTGAAGAAAATGCAGTACTACCACGTTGAAAGTGAATTAGGGACAGGCTTAGGGCGGTGATGGGGCTGGGGAGGGTGCTTTCCCAAGGCCCTAACACTGGAGATCAAGGGCAAATCAAAGAGGAGGCTGGGAAGATCTGGGGAGAGGGGAGCAACGGCAGAGGCTTCGGGCAGAAAGCAACGTGGAAGCCTCAGAAAAGGACAGCGAGCCTCAGAGTCAGAGTAACAGGGACAATTCAGATGTGCAGTGGGAAGACCCAAGGTGGGAGGGTGGAGCATATGAAGAGCATCCTGATCCAGGCTGGGGATCACTCTCAACTTAACTTAAACTTTCCTTTAGATAGACTATCTTTTGCTAATTCTTGGACAGTTTCATAAATTTAAACATCATATATATATACATATATATATATATATATATATATATGCACCGAGTTCTATTTAAACTGACCGTGGGACTGTCCACTCACTGATCTTGTCCAGTAAAGACAGCTGCCGCGAGTTCATGAGTATAATGGTCATATCACATCTGGAAGACAGCATTGCACAGCGCTCCATCCTCCGGCTCTTTCTGGCCCTCTTCTGTGCCGTTCCCTGAGCCTTGGCTGAAGGGCTAGAGGTTGAGCCTGATGTGCCGTCTCGGGCTGAGCACTCAGTCCTCGCTGATTCTCAGCACTCTGACCGGTGATGGATATCTACATAAACTGCTGGCCACAGCACAGCACACACACGCTTCTCTCCGGCCAAGGTTGATGGCAGCTCTAGTCTGTGGCTGTGAGCACACATGTTAAGAAGATCATCTGACAGCATGCCATTTATCAGGACAGCAGTATCAGGTTACCTGACCAGGGCCTAGACCTCCCCAGCGAAGAGCCTTCGAACCAGTGAACCTAAATTCTTATCACAAATGGGAAGCAGCAGCCTTCCCGGGATGTATGAGTTCCAATTAGAGAGGCGGAAGTACGAATACTCTTCTCTGTCGGGGAGGAAAGTAGAACTCCAGCTGGGAGGAAGGAGGAATCTGCCCTGGGGCATGTCTGTCTGCTCAGTCAGTGCTGACCCTGGCCTTGACACACGAATCAACTCGTGTCTTCCCCCTCGTGAGAACTACGCCTTTCTGTGGGGTGTTCGTGAGAACTCTGGGTTAGCTGCTTCACGGCACACTGTGTCTGCTTACACCTCCTTGGCTTGTTCAAAGGCAAGTGAGGGAAATGACATCCAGAGTGGAGGAGGTGGCAGAGTGGTGTCACCTGGCTATTCCCACTCTCTACATGGCCCGGCCTTTTGAAAAAGGAACCTCTTAGATTCTTTTGTGTAACTGCTCCAAGGTACAAAGCAGAAGCTGTTGAAGCAGGAATGTTAGGTAAAACACTCACTGATAGCCTGGATGTCACAGGCCTACTCAGTAAATACCTTCATGGGCAGCAAACAACACGATTTTGTGAGCATTTACTGTGTGCTGCCCCTGCCCCATCTCTGAAGACTAACCTATGAAGACAATGGTAGCTTCCCTCTGCCCTGGGGGGAGCTCACAACCCAAAGGGAACTAGTGTGACCAAGTTCTAACTGGTGAGATTCACACAGGTTCCCACCTTGCCTTTCCAGCATAAGAATCAGGTGTGCTGGGCCCAGGGCGATGCTCATGGGGTAAATACGCTTGCAGCACAGCCTGCTGACCTGAGTTTGATCCCTGGAACTCATAGAACCCACTCCAGAAAGATGACCTCTGACCTCCACATACCTGCCCATGGCTCATGCATGCCAGCCCTCATAACACACACACACATGCACTCCAGAAAGATGACCTCTGACCTCCACATACCTGCCCATGGCTCATACATGCCAGCCCTCACACACACACACACACACACACACACACACACACACACACACACCATACGCACATAGTAATAAGAACAATTAATAAATTCAACACTTTAAGAGCCGTCCTGAACATTGTAGTACATTATAATTCCAAAGTATTCTCAAAAAATTTTTTAACTTAGAAATTTTCCCTCAACTCTAAGATTCTTTGTTTTATGCTACTTATAAAAATACATATTTAATGTTGCCGGGTGGTGGTGGGACACACCCTTAGAGGCAGAGGCAGGCAGATCACTGAGTTTCAAGACAGCCTGGTCTACAGAGTGAGTTCCAGGACAGCCTCCAAAACAATACAGAGAAACCCTGTCTTGAAAAAACAAAAACCAAACAAACAAACAAACAAAAAAAAACAAAAAGAAAGAATATATTAATGGAATAAAATATGAAATAAATTTAATGATGATTAGTTATGCTATCAATATGGTGTTAAAAACCCATAGTGAGCACGAGTCTCAATTTGGCTAAGCACTGGGCTTGTCAGGGGAGTATTTTTAAAGTCATCATGGCTGTGTCCCGTGCAGAACAATGGAACTGGGGCCTCTAAGGGACACCGGGTGGAGTCCAGACTGCAGAGTCTGCATGTGGATTGAGGGGCTGGAATCACGTGGCATGAAAGGTGCTTTGAAAAGAACAAAATAGCGCAATTCCAGAAGTGACTTCAGAACAGGGCTAGCGCAGCAATGCAGGGACACTTTCCCAAGCCCCTGATATCGGAGGTGAAGTGTGGTTCAAAGTGGAAACAACCGATGGAGAGACTCTGGCCAAAAGCAACCAGAGGCACCAGAAACGGATTAAGAGCCACGGGCAGAAATTAGTTGGATAAACTGAAGCATTGGGGGGCAGGAGGCATATGGCAGAGTTCTGTGTGTGCACACCCAGGGACTTGGTCCCAGCACCTCATGGTGGTTCAAGCCTCTGCTCTCTGTTTTTCCAGAATGGGCTTCCTAGGAGTGCAGTCAGCTACAAGTAGTGGATAGGCCATCAAGGGGAGGTAGCAGCCAGCCACGGTTCCTTTTTGTCAGGTAGCAAGGAGCTCAGAATGGAAAGAGAAGATTAGAGACAGAAAAACAAAGCCCTCCTAGCCACGGCATCGGCACAGCTTTCTTCTCAAGGTGGCAACATGGCTGCTGGCCATCCAGGCATCAATCACTCTGTGTTGAAGGAAGGTGGACTTGTCCTTGCCCAGTGGCTCTACCTTGTAAGAAAGAGAATTCCCTGTCCCTGTGCTTCTATCTACATATCAGCCATAAGTCTGTCTGTCTGTCTGTCTGTCTGTTTGTGTCTCTCTCTCTCTCACACACACACCTGTCTGTCTGTCTCTCTCTCTCACACACACACCTGTCTGTCTGTCTGTCTCTCTCTCTCTCACACACACACACCTGTCTGTCTGTCTGTCTGTCTGTCTCTCTCACACACACACACACACCTGTCTGTCTGTCTGTCTGTCTGTCTCTCTCTCTCTCTCACACACACACACACACACACCTGTCTGTCTGTCTGTCTGTCTGTCTGTCTGTCTCTCTCTCACACACACACACACACACACAAACCCGAGTGTTTGGCTCCAGATCTCCAGATGCAAGGAAGCTGGGTATCTGAGTGTCTCCAGCTGAAAGCAGTGGGGGGTTTGGGGAAGATGCTGAGTGAGCCAGCTTCCAGGGTTTTTAGACCCAGGCAGCAGCCTTCCAATCCTGTGACGGCAGACAGGGCACTGAGGGCCTGGCTGGTGTGGCCGACCAACGACTGATGGCTGGGAGCTGAAAACAGATCCAGAACCCACTATGTGGTGGTGACTCTTTCCCTCGGGTAAAAGGCAATGGTGGCAGATGGAGGCCTGGTCCTCCCTCTCCTGGGTAGCAGCCCACCTCCAGAGGGAAGCATACAGAATTCACCTGTCCTGGGAGCAGCCCACCTCCAGAGGGAAGCGAACAGAATTCAGGAACTGAGGGCTCTACTTGCCATGTGTTCTTGATGCGTGGCACATGGTGGCACCAACTCCAACTGCACATGAGTTGGAAACTCCTCGTGCCAGTGATTGTGTTCACTCCTTGGAGCAGGAAAAGCACCAGGGTTATTTTCCTCCTCTGGAAATGGCTATTAGTAAGTACAAGACGGGTTTGCTGGAGCAATGGCTCAGTGCTGAAGAGCAAGGGGCTTCTCTTCCAGAGAACCCAGCTTCCATGTCCAGCACCCAAGAGTGGTTCACAACCATCTGTAACTCCTGTTCCAGGGGACCTGACACCCTTTTATGGCCTCCACAGGCACCAGGCACATAATGGCGTACCAACATACATGTAGGCAAACATGCACATAAGATACAATTTCTTTTTCTTTTCTTTTCTTTTTTTTTAAATAAAATGCAGGGAAGTCAAATCACTCACCAAGAGCTGGCCAGGAGCAGAGCAGAGTGTGCCTGGGGAGAACCTGCTGAGCTCAGGCCAGACCCCAGCCAAGAGATGCCAGCTGCCCCCAGTCTCCAGCAGCCAGCTCAGCTGCCTGGGGCTGAGGGACCAGCCTGGGGATTCCCCTCCACTGAGGCGCTCTGAGTGACCTGCTCTTCAGCCCCTCCAACAGGGGATTTCCCAGAGTGTTCCCATGCTCAGGAAGCCTCCTTCTTAGCCACCCCCAGCTCTTTGATAGAAGTAGTATCAGGTGACCCTCACAGGTGAGGTGGGTGGTGAGCTGTGAACAGTAGCTTTTGGATTAGCGTGGGGGAGGGAAATTGGGATGGTAACATTGGCAAGTGAACAGAGCAGGGTAATTCGAGCTCAGCTGGTTATAACAGGTTCTCAAGGCAGGTACGGGGAGGCAAAGGGCGGGTACTTGTGCTGCAGCCTACAAACTGTGTGACCTCCAATGCGTTGTTTAACTTCTGTGTGCCTCAGTTTCTTCTCTTTTGTAAAAGGGAGATGGTTCATACTGTGCAATGGTGTTACAAAGATTAAACATGATGATAGCTATAAAATACTTTAAAGGGCAGGTCAAGGGACACACTCCTTTAATTCCAGTAATCAGGAGGCAGAGACAGGGAGATCTCAGTGAGTTTGTGGCCAGCTTGGTCTACAGAGCCAGTTCCAGACCAGCTAGGCTCCATATTAAGACTCCCCCCCCATACACTCTCTCTCTCTCTCTCTCTCTCTCTCTCTCTCTCTCTCTCTCTCTCTCTCTCTCTCTCTCTCTCTCTCTCTGGTGTTTAAATCTTGATGCCTGTCTGAGACATACATGTACACACACAAGCACATGCACAGAAAACTCAAAAAGCTGGGGGTTACAGGTTCTAGTCTACTCATACATTTAGGTAGCCAATTTGAAATCTGAAATATTGGTGAATTCAAGGGAAAACTAGAGACACCCCTGCTCCTGTGTATCAGCATTAGCTCACCCAGCTCAGAAGTCTCTGAGCCCAGAACAGTAAATACCAAGGCCTACCCCAGATCTCCTCAGTGAGAACCTGTCACCAGCATTGCTAGTGCTCCCAGAGGACCCAATATCTGGCTAAGGTTGGGGATCATCTTGTCTTCAAGTGAAACAACTGGTATTCAACAGGGAAAGTGGATCCCCCAAGGGCCAGTCACCCACTGTCAGGAGCCAGGCCCTGGCTCATTTTGGAGGATGTTCTGGCCTCTGTGGAGAGCCTTTCCAGGGTGGCAGGATGGAAGTGGGCAATTCTGTGGCTTCAGGGGTGTGGCTGGCTCAGCATGTGGTATTATGCGATGTTGTGTGGGGTCATAGTCTATGTGTGTAATGATGACTAGAACTGCTGTCCCTTTGGAGGGTGTGTGTGTGTGTATGTGTGTGTGTGTGTGTGTGAGTGTATGTGTGTGAGTGCATGTGTGAGTGCATGTGTGCATGTAAGTGTGTGTGTGAGTACGTGTAAGTGTGTGTGTGTCCTTGCTCCTGGGTGCCCCTAGCTCACTCCAGGAGTGAGGTCCTCAAGGCAGGCGAGGCAGGAAAGGGGAGTCCAGCCTGCAGATCTCCTTCCTGGCTACGGGTCCACCATTAGATAAGGCTTCTACACTTCTGAGAAGACACCAGTGTGAGGGGAACTCTGCAGCACTTTCTCCTCACAGCTGCTTGGGCATTTTAGGAAACTAGGCAGTATGCTTTTGGCTCCGGGTCTCAGTTGATCTCCTGGTAACCGACAGTGCAGACTTTGTGAGAATGCTGAAGGGCCTAACCACGTTTTGAAAAGTGAAGAACAGGCTAGCTATATGGAGCCAGGAGGCAGGCTAGCTCTCCCTACTGTGGCCAGAGGCCTGCCTGGTAGAGGAAACTTCCTTCACCCCCACCCCCTCACTCTACACTGAATTCAGGTCTCTGCCCACACTGGGGAGTTAGGGGGTGTGGTTGTTGTCCCTGTGGATAAGCAGCTGCCCCCAACTGTCCCTTTAGTTATCTAAGACCTCTCTGGGGGGCCCTGCTGCCCCTGCCAGAGTAGAGGGATGGGGCCCAGATCAGCCACTTCCTCCTGCAAGGGAAGTCAAAGCCAAAGCCTTTCTCTGGGGAGTGGCCAGTGTGGGCAAGCCCTGAGCTTACAGACATTTCTCTTGCAAGAAGCAGTCTGGCCTTGCGAGGTAAAGTCAAACTTTGCCCCGCGGTTACAGGTGGCAGGTGGTGGTTAGTCAGGCCTGCCCAGTTCGGGCTTTGGAATCTGCCTGCCCAGGAGATGGAGGAGGAGAAAGCTGGAGGGTGCTCCCCGGAGCTTGCTAGTGACTTGCCCAGCAGTCACTTCCCGAAAGCTGGGCCTGCCTCTAGGCGGGGAGAAGATGAGAGCCCGCCCACCCAGTCTGTCTCTGCTTGCTGCCTTGGGGTTTGCCCAGGTTCTTCAGAGCACTGAACTTACAGTAAATGCTGTCACCAGTGGAAACTCTCAGAGGGGGCGAGGAAAGGGCCAGGACTCCGGGCCCCAGTTCCCGTCTCAGCATACTACCCCCCCTGCCCCAGATTCATTACACCCACCTTTCAGTAAAGGGGTAATGCCTTACTGGTAAAGGGTTTGCTGACCTCCCTCTGGGATGCGCCAGAAACACACACACACACAAAGAACGGAGAAATGCCCAGCTGGTCACAGCCTGCAGGAGCAGCAGCCAGGGAGTGAGCACCGTCCAGCTTTGGGCTTCCTCACCCCACTCTGGAGATGAGGGTTTCCTTTGCATGCGGCTAGGGGCTTTGGTTAGTGCAGAAAGCTTTCAGAATGTCCGGCCGAGGCTGAGCACACTCACATCTGACCTTCAAAAGAAATGGAAGCCGGCTTGATGAGCAAGGTCAGGGTCCTGTGCTCTTCCACCACTTACAAAGGACTGTACTGGGTCTGGATGATTGGCAGTGTAAGTGACAGATCCCACCTCTCATCAGCCTGAAGCTCACTCCTGATGGGTCATTTAGGGCAAATTTTAAATGTCAAGTTATCTTACATCTGCTAACCACTATACTTTTGAGTCAACATTCTCATGCCAACAATTGATGTTATCAGCCAGTCAGCCAACAAACATTTAAGTCCATTTGGCACTTGAGCAGCCATTTAACACGGGCTTCAATAACTAAAGCGGATTTTATAATTATTTTATCATATTTAACCAGTATGTTATTGACCGTAATTTTCAAACTTGCCTGGTCATTAGAATGACCCAAGACACCTGTTAAAAGCTCAGATTTCCAGAGCTGGGTGATGGCTTAGTTGATAAAGCACTAATGTGAGAACCTGAATTTGGTTCTCTACACCCATGTAAAAAGTGGGGTGAGCAGCGTGTGCCCGGACTCTCTGCAGTGGTGAGACTAGAGGCAGATTCCTGCAAGCTTCTGGGCCAGCTGCAAGTTCAGGCCAATGAGAGGCCCTCTCTCAAACAAACTGTGACAGGAAGGTGCAGGGTGGGTTGTCCTCTTCTGACCTACACACACACTCTCTCTCTCTCTCTCTCTCTCACACACACACACACACACACACACACACACACGCATGCACGCACGCACGCACGCACGCACCCCTCGCCTGTATGCACCTGCACCCATACATAAGTACATACAACACTCACAAGGAAAAGAGAAATTTCTCCTCAGATCCCAACTCTACAAAAGCAAGAACTGTCTGCTAGTGCCAGGTAGCTTCGGAGCTATGCTGAGACTCCTTTGCCTCTCCAGCACCTTTGCCTTTCTGGGGGGTTGGGGAGACCCCAATACTTAGCAGGCATCTGTTCCCTCAGGTCTGGGAGTCTCATGGTCTGCAGAAGCTATTGCTTCTCAGTAATTGCTATGTATCAGAGTGCCATGGCGGCCGGGAGATGATGTGGTTCCCTACTAACACATACAGATGTTTCTGGACAAAATGTTCACTGTTTCTATACTGACACAGAGAGCATAGGACTTACTTGAGGTTTCCCTTTCTATGGTTTTACTTAATCCACTGTCAACTGTGGTCTGAGGATACCAAATGGAAAGTTCCAGAATAAACAGTTCATAAGTCTCTTTTTTTTTTTTTTGGTTTTATGAGACAGAGTTTCTCTGTATTGTTTTGGAGGCTGTCGGTCCAGCCCAGCCTCGAACTCACAGAGATCCGCCTGCCTCTGCCTCCTGAGTGCTGGGATTAAAGGCGTGCGCCACCACCGCCCAGCATCAGTTCATAAGTCTTAAGTAACTTAAGTATAGTGTGTTGTTATTATGTTCCGTTTCATGATTATTTGCTGATAATCTCTTCCTATGTTTATAAACTTCATCACAGGTTTACACTAAGAAACACAGTGTCTACTGGGTACTGTCCAAGGTTTGGGGATGGTTTGGAACAGGTTTGGGAAACTCAACAATTGTGGGCAAGAGGGAGCAGAATAGAACGCCAAGCCCATCACAGAGCCTCAATATTCAGAAAGACTCACTCTAAACATCCTAGAACCTGAGTGAAGGGGCAAACACAAGGCACTTGGTGTGGGGGTAGGGTGGGTGGGGTGGAGTAAACCAACAGAAAATGTTTCACAAACTTCTTTCCATTCTCTTAGGATCTGGCTCGATTGCCAGTTTCCCTTGGCACATGCTTGCCTCACTCAACCCAGAGACATACATGCAGGCATGTTTGCACACACACCCGTACAAACACAAATATAAGCTCACACACGCACACACACACACACACACACACACACACACACACACACACACACACACACCTGGGTAAGGTTTTCCATAGTTTATCTCCACCAAGCTTGTATGTTTGGTCCCTAGTGAAGCAATAGTGTTGGGAGGGGAGGTGCCAGCAAGGGGCGATTATGCCCCTAAGAGGTATTAGTACCTTTCTCAATTTCTTCTCTAGTTTTCTTCCTTCCTTCTCCCCGTCCTCCTTCCCTCCCTCCCTCCCTTCCTTGCTTTTCAGAACACTAGCGATTGAACCTAAGGCTTCATTGCCTATGCACGCTAGGCTTCTTCCCCATCTTTAGACTCATTTATCTAGAGACACGGTGACAGGCTCTCTTTTTTTTCCTTTCTAGCCTGGGCTGGCCTCCAACTCCCAACCCTCCAGCCTCCACATGCTGAGTGCTAGGATGACAGATCAGTGCCACCATGGCCAGCTTGTGTCTCTTTCTGAGGGGTGGGGTTGGGTACACAGTGGGTTGTGTCTCCCTCTGAGGGGTGGGGTTGGGTACCACAGTGGGTTGTTATAAAGAGACCTGACCCTCTCTTCTCTCCTACACATGAGCTTCTTTTCTATACCTGCCCACCCACTTTTCCACCACGCACAGCCCTCAGTCACCATATCCTTGAACCACCAGAACTCCGAGTTAGATAAACCATCCGGCCCCCGGTGTTTTGTTATAATGATAGAGAAGAGGCAGATTAGACTGGGAATTGCTACTTTTAATAGTCAAAACAGCAGCTATCAGCAGTTGCTTATGGACCAACCTGATATTTGTACTCACCTACAAACTTATACAAGTGTGTCCATGTGAGCACGTGTATGCGTGCACACGTCCTCACGTGCACAAGAATTTTCAGTTGCCCTTCTTCATGACTGTGCTGATAGGAAACTACTCCGGCCCTCATGGCACTGCCCTCCCGACCCACCGACTTTCCCATCTTCCCTGACACTCATCGTCACGTCATTGTCCCTTTACAGGAGAGTGAAGACCTGGAGAAACAGAATGCTGCTCTCCGCAAGGAGATCAAACAACTCACAGAGGAGCTGAAGTACTTCACGTCCGTGCTGAGCAGCCACGAGCCCCTGTGCTCCGTGCTGGCCAGTGGTGCCCCCTCACCTCCCGAGGTGGTGTACAGTGCCCACGCCTTCCACCAGCCTCACATCAGCTCGCCGCGCTTCCAGCCCTGAGCCCCCAGATGGGAAGAGGGCAGAACCCCAGTTGATGCTACTCCCACAGGTCTTCGGAGGGGCATGAAAGCCGAGGCCTGGCTACCCTCATACCCCCATCCGGAGAGCCAGCGGCAGAGGCCTGGGCAAGTACTGAACGCAAGAACTGTAGTGGCCAGAGGGACTTGGAGTCTCCAGCAGAGTAGAGCCCATGTACTGGACGCCACGTGAAGGAGAAGCAGCCCCGAGTGACGTGGATGTCTAAGGCCCACAGCACAGAGGAAGGAGGGTAGGGAGGGGATACTTTTCTAAATAAATATTTTCTAAGAAACCAGCCCTGGAAATCAGCTTCCCTGTTTCCCCCCATTAGCATTTTACAAATGACTTCCTTTTGGTTTGGGACCTGGTTTTTCTCCCTAGCTTCAGGAAGCACCTCCAGAGTCTAGGGATTCCACTTGTACCTCTTCTCCATGTTCTGCTCACCTGTTTGGGAAGCTGGTGTCTTTTCAAATCATCTTCAACCTCTAGGCATCTCCTGCACCCTTCTCTCCAGATCTCCCCAGCCCTGCCTCTTACCCCGTGATTTCTCTAGATGGCAGAGCAGCTCACTCTGCAGTTAGAGAAGGGCTCAGTGGAAGACACCATCTGGGGAGAGGGGAGTCGGGGAGATCTCAGCGTCTCCTGTCTGTACTCCTTCCCAGACAGCTGCTCAGTCCTACAGTCCAGTCTCCAGGATGCTGTGGGTTAGGCTCCATGCTGGGGATCTGAGTAACACAAAGCCAGCTCCTCACATTCAAGGCAGTAGGTAGCCTTTGGCCACACCTTGCCAAAGATGCCCTTAGAAAATAGGTGGCTGCACCCAGTGTACCTTGAGTGTGCCAAGGTTGAGTAGCTCGGGGTAGTGTTCAGTCTGAACATCTGATTGGAGCTGGTGTGCTTCATCCTCTCTCTGATGTCCAACTGTTTCTCAGAAGTCCCCAGGCCACCTGTGTGCTGGTTTTTATGTCACAACCTTTCACACAGCACTGCCCAGAAGCAAGAACAGACATCCCCGCTAAGACTTCTGTAGAAACTGTCCATCTTCCTAGTCTCTGCTGAGTGGCTGGGCACCAATAGGGTAGGTGGCTCAGGGCCAGGTTTCTGGTGCAGGATAGTCAGTTCCTGCAGCTTTCCTGACCACAGCCATGCTGTGGTGAAGGGAAGGGAGGAGCCAGCCACTTGCTTGTCAGCAAGTCCCAACCCATTGGCTACTGGCTCTGGCACATTTGAGGCCTTGTTTGATGACTTCTGCTCAGATTTCTCCCACCCTCTGGGATGAGGGCAGTGTTGGGCAGATGTGAGCATTAAACTTCATAGAGGCCTGACAAACCTGCCTAACTGTGACTTCCTGGTCACTGGTTCATGAGAGGCTCTCACAGCAGTCACTGGGGTGGCAGCAGACTGAGGCATGCCCCAGGGTAGGGCTGGGCTGAGCCACAGCCATTGAGCATTCGTTTTTTTCCCCCAATGCTGGATCTGGAATCCTAATCTCTGGCCTCCCAACAGAACAGCAAACTGGGTCTCCTCTTCCAGGAACTCCATGTGGCCTAGGACATGAGATGAAGAGCTGCCCCCCTCCGCCCCCCAAAGCTCTCTCCTTCCCACCCCCTCCACGAGCAGCCCCCCCACCCTCGCTCGCAAAGCCACCGCGCCCTCCAGGAGTCTCATGTGTCATCTCTCACAGTCTTGAGACCTAGGACTTAGCAGCAGACTAAACTTGGCCTTTCACAGGCAGGCTGCTTTCCAGTCAGAGGTATCTCTCCCAACCCCTGCTGCCGTGTGGTGATTTCCCCCCAGAAACCCCGCACAAGGCACATGACTGCCCGGGCATCTTCTGCATCTTGGGGCCAGAACTAGAAATTCGAGCTCACGTGCCACTCCTATCTCAGCAAGGACTCTGTTCCCCTTTCATTCTCCACTTTCTAATGACCATGGGTGGTTCCACTTCTCCTTTCTCAGCGGCCTGGTAAAAGAGCAGAGGGTTGAGGCTGGGGGACAGGGACTCCGAATGGGCAGCTGTTGAGCACAGACTTGAACTTCCAAAACTCTGATGTTGAGCAGCTCATCCCAGCTCACGACAGGAATGGCACCCCACCCCCACCCCCACCCCCACCCCCACCCCAGGCTGGACCTGTTGATTCATGCTCAACTGTTCTTAGGCTCACACAGACTCTGTAAACGCAGTGAACTGAAGGGTTTGACAAACCGAAAGAGTGTGCCACGTCTCTGTAGTTCTACCCAGCGGGGCTGTGCTGGGACTCAGGCACAGTGATTGTTGCTTCTTCCAATCTGCAAGGAAAGCTAAAGTCAGAATTCCTACCGGGGTTTCTTTTTCCTTTCTACTATGTGTGTGTGTTTCTCCACTTCCACTACTATGGGTGCGACCCTAGGCCTCCCACACGGTAGGCAAATTCTCTGTCACTGAATCACACCTCAGCACCAAAACCCAATTTGTAGGATTATGAGTTTGCCTGATTATTTTGAGGCCTGGCACTAAATAAGCCCAGGGTGGCATTGAACTGGAAGTAATTCTTCTGCCTCAGCCTTTTGGGTGCTGGAATTACAAATGTGTTCTGTTATGTGCTGCTCCAATTTTTAAAAGTCACTGGGGACCAACAAACTACACTGATGGGTCACATTTGTCCATAATATCTGCATGACCTGGGACAAAGTACAAAGGTCACATATTATAGGTCTAAATATTTAAACACTATTTTCCTTTTCCCTGGCAAAGATGACTTCACACCACCCATGCCCCAAAAATGCCAGCATCAAATTTAGGCTTTTTAGACACCTTGGAATTTTATGTCAATACAGGGAGTGGGGGAGACAGACCTCCAGCTGCAGCTGAACTGCTCTTCTGTGAGAGCCAAAGTTATATTTTGTTTTAATTACTATGCCTCAGAGATCCATGAAACAAAAATGTCTCTGATTTGTAAGCCCCTCGCCCAAGGACACACAGTTCCTGAAATGCTGGAGGCTGTTGTTTATGGGAGATGACGTCACAGGTTTTCACTCCCCTAAACAAATTTGTTTGACCTGTCTGCACCAGACATGTTTTATCACATGTAGGTGAGAAGTACGTAGGCAGGGAATACAGGGATGTATGCTTGCCCCTGATTGGATCTGGTGGGAAATGTGAATGTGGGTTTGGCCTTCTTAAACTCCTGCAAAATGTGACTCAGGGCCATTTTCTGGAAACCCAGAGATGGACCTGGCCAGAGTCCACTCACCCGGTCAATATTTAATTAAAACTGACTGCAAATTTGGCTTTAAACTGTGGTAGTGGTCTTTTTTTTTATTTAAATTTAGATTAGAAACAAGGTTGCTTCACAAGTCAGTTCCAGGTCCCTCTCCGTTTCCCTCCCCTCCTCCCGTGCCCTCCCTGGTAGTGGTCTTACTCTCCACTGGTGAGATTAATTAACACTCCCTTCCTCAATGGCATCAGATTTGTCCACGCTCTGGCCCCAGGAAGAGTAATGCAGCCCTGGAAGGAGCATTGACTCAGCGAATCCTGGTGTCCTTGTCACACAGGGCATTGGGGCTCTGAGGAATCAGGTCTCCTTCATCCGTAGACCCCTTCCCCCACCAGAAGGAGTACGATAGGAGACAGGCCAGCATTGGTCCCTGCACCTTGGAGAGTCCAGAGCAGGGAGCTCTCCTGGATGAGTCTAGGGTGGGATTTCTGAGGTTTGACCTTTTCCTCCTGATCTGGGTCAACAGCGTCTCCTGGGAAAGTCCAGGTACCAGAAGGCACGCAATGGGTGTGAAAGAGCATCCGTGCTCCGGTTGCCTTGTCCCCTCCAGAACACTCGCTTCCCCACCTGCGGGCCTCTGTTTACCTCTTACTAGCAGAACCGCTGCGCTGCCCATGAATTACGGGAAAGCCAGAATTTCAGTCTTCGGGTTGGGGAGTGTGGGTGGGGAGAGAAAGGGAGCCGGGTTAACTCAAAGTTCACGGGGTTACCGTCTGCTGGACCACAACTTACCAGCAGTGTATATTATTAATACTTCCAGCCCATGTCAGTTGTTGCTGTGGTTTTGTGATACAGGGGGTGAGGCATCTGGGTGCCCCACTTGTTTGGAGGACAGGTAGGCTGTCTCTAACCCTCGGCTCCCTTCTCTTCTACCGACTTCAGCATCCCAAAGTTCGTCAAGGGAGTCCCAGCAAAGAAAGGGGCTGGGGAACCAAGACCAACATTGATGTGCCAAATGGGTTTCTGTTCTGCTTTGTTCTGTTTATTTATTTTTAGACACTGAGAATTTCTTTTCTATGTATCCAGGCTGACCTCAAACTTGAAATCCTCCTGAGTGTTAGCATTGTAAGAATAGAGGGGATTGACACCTTAAGACCTACCAAGAGATAATGTTTGCCTCAAAGGTGTGAGCTCCTGATGGTGAGTGACACTTTTGATCACCAGCTCTGATGGAGAGAGATGTTTAATAGAGTTCTTGCCATGGAGATGATCAGTGTCTTCCCTGGCCTTGTGTGGGTACCACGCAAAGAGTGCAAGATAGGGGTGGAAAGGATGTGTAGTAGGGTCACTACTGCTGTGCTGGACACCAAGACCAAAAACACCTTGGGGAGGAAAGGGCCTATTCATCTTCTGCCTCCACATCACTGTTAATTACTGAGGGAAGTCAGGACAGGAACTCCAGCAGGGCAGGAACCTGGAGACAGGAGCTGATGCAGAGGCCATGGAGGGTGCTGCTTACTGGCTTGTTCCTCAGCAGCTTTCTTATAGAACCCAGGATTACCAAACCAGGGATGGTCACTCACAGTGGGTTGGGCCCTCCCCCATCAATCACTAAGAAATATCCTACAGGCTTGCCTACAACCTGATCTCATAAGGGCATTTTCTCAATAAAAGTCCCTTCCTCTCAGATGACTCTGTGTCATGTTCGCAGATACCTCGCAGCAGGAGCACATGTGTATGGGTCAGAAGTCAACTTTGGGTATCTCTCTGTACTGCTCTTCACATTATTTTTGAGATAAGGTCTCTCACTGAACCTGGAGCTCATTGATTGGTTAGACAATCCATCTGTTTTAGTCTGCCCAGCACTGGGACTATAGATGCCTGGTGTTGCAACTGTTATGCCCACATCATGAGCTCCCAAGAGACCACCAGGAGTCCAAGTTCGTATGCAAAAGCATAGAGCGTTTATTGCAAGTTCGAGCTTGGGCTCCCATCCATTCTTAGTTGAGGCAGCGTTTTTTAAGGAGTAAAGGATGAGGGGATGGGGAGTTCCAGATTCAGATGGGGGTTGAACTCCTGATCAGGCATAAGTGAGGTA